GTGTCAAGGTCAACCAAAGGTCATTCGAGGTCACATGAGGTCAACATGAAACTTGACCTTTTCCGAACAAAATATATATCATTCGACGCGGCTTGACAAGGCGAATGCGATGGTACCATTGCCGTAGCTCTAGGACCATTTTTGTCGAAGTTATTTGCGAAAAACTAAAACCACATTTCGGGGTCGTTGACCTGACCTCTGACCTCAGGTCACCAAAACTATTTTTCTATTTTTCTCTAGGTCAAACGCTACACAGCCGTGCTCGTAATTTGTCTTTATCTCTAAAACTCTATTTTTAGCAGCTATTTGAAGTTTGCGTCTGTGACGCCGAAGTTTGCCGTGCAGGGGTCTAGAAAAATGGACCTTGTGACGTCATCAAGGGGGCTAGGTCCAAATTTTTTACTTCAGAAGATGTCAAATTGATGGGAGAAAAGGTACTGCAAGTTTCGCCTTCCTATCCCTAAGCGTTCGGGAGTTATCGCAAATATTCGCCAGGGGGGGGGGGGCGAAAAACGCCCCCCCCCCGGGCCCGCGAGGGTTAATTCCTGCAAGACTAAAACGGTTGTGGTAAGAGTAAGATATACCACAGTGCATCATTGTCCATTCGAGCACTCATACAGCCCGTCTGTCTGTCTGTCTGTCTGTCTGTCTGTCTGTCTGTCATTTGTTATCAGTTATCAGTCTGTCGTCTATCGGTCTGGCTGTCAGCCTGTTCACTGTTCAGTAAGTTGACTCACTCATATAGCATCATCAATAGATTGCGCCGCAGTCCATCTATGTTGAGGTGGACTTAACACACTCATTTATCATGGTGTGTCTTTATCGCACTGCTCAGCAAGTTCATTGTACCATACTGCTTCCCTATAGGTTTGAAACTAAAATGCTCCCTTTGGCATTTATTTCCTCATCGTCTAGTGAAGGCTGCTGCATTTTCAATGACGGCACTGACAAGGCTAAAAAGCTTGTTTGTGGTAGATAATTGTACCATTTTGGTAACAAATAATCCCCAATTCAAAAGGCTCCGATATTTCTACAGAAGTTGTATTCTCTGATGCCCTAGGACGACATCATGTTGTACGTCATTGCCTATCCCAATATCACGGTGACCGGTTGTTGGCGTCGGACTGTCCTGCCGGTGCCAGCGTCCGGGTACCGTGTCGGACCGGTCGTTAGGTCGGCAGTTAGCATACCGCGCACCAGACACGGTCTTCCTCCGTCAGCGTGCTGCCCCAGAGACGTATCTTCCTCTGTCGGCGGTCAGCGCACTGCCCCTAACACGACCCTTCGTCTCTCAGCGCATGGCCCAGAGACGGCCCTTCACTGTCCGCGCACTGCTTTATGAAAAGGCCCTTCTCCATCAGCGCTGAGCGTACTGCCCTAGAGGTGGCCCTTCCTCTGTCAAAGCTCATGGAAACCTTGATTCTAGCGCTCTACCGCACACAGACGGTTCATATTCCATATAGACCGCCCCCCAGCCGGTTCGACCCCCGGCTCGCCCCGCCGTCTCCCATCCCCGTCGCTGTCACACACCTCCTCACAGCGGAGACACGCCGCCGGCACCGGTCGGACGCACCAATCACTCGCCGATATTGGGGCGGCGATCTCATATTTCGGCGCAGCGCCCTGGAGGCAGGTGCTCGCCGCCGGCTGATAGGGTCTCACTGCCGCCGGGTGGGACTCGGATGAGGGACGGCATGGAACGGAAACTGTCACAGACTGACAGAGGAAGCCGCGAGCCGAGATAGTGTCAGCGGGTGACGTACGACATGACCTGTCACGGGGCAGACACGTGCCGCTCAATGGCCGGTGGCGGCGAGATGGAGAAGGGTGGCGGGAAAGAGGTCCCGGGAGCGAAGACGGAGAAGTCTGCTCGTTGCTTTTGGTTTCAATTTGCTGTCACTGATCGAAAACTTGGGCATGTCGAGCATGATGATTCCGAAGAAATGGAGAAAGAATGGTCCAACAATGAAAGACCAATGCAAAAAGACCCAAAATGTTTCCGTGGTAAGGCATGCATAACAATTCACAATGAAACCTGTCTTATTTAGCTCGCATCATGGGTGGAGCTTTTCCAGGGAAGTTGGTGGGGCAAAAAGTCGTCAAACCCACAATGTCCGATTATGATGTTGAATAAAATGCCACACTTAATCAATTCCTATCATTACAGATATAATATGTTGCATTAAACAGACACTCCAAAGCCCTTCAATGCGAAAAAGATTAATTTGCAAAGCAACAAAGTCTTAGAAATCAGCTTAAGTTGGTGGGGCAAAACACCAAGTTGGTGGGGCAGCTGCCCCACCAACTGTATAGGAAGCTCCGCCCCTGGCTCGCATGCAGCGCTGTATTCGAAACAAGTTATGAAAGTCTATCTCAACAGGCGACGTTAGTAATATGCGAACGGTCTTTACACCTAATCATGTGATCGAGAAATATCAAGAAGATGTCGTTTGTAAGGTTACAATGAACAAAGTGGAAGTGGTAGTTGCAGTTACTCTCTGAAATCTGGATTGCCAGTCCAGATTTCAGACATTTATCGCTGAGTGGCTCGCAGAATGTGTTGTCAAGATATGTTTGCTTGATCTACCATCCCACCGAACATCCCACTTTCCTGACCAAAGGTCAAGTTCCAGTGGCTAGAGTGACTTGCAATGCAAACCCTTCGTAGACATCCCTCAGTCCTCCTATACCACTACATGCCCTAATAGACATTCATAATTTTAGCCTAAATTGGACGTCACAGCGTGATATATTTCATATTCAGCTGCATATTTACATCCTGCCTTCCATTTGACCGTGAGAAACTAATCACATTTGTTTCAGCCGACAAATTTTCCTTATACATTTTACATATAACAGTCACGTATAAGAGCGATGACGCCCAGGAATAGCTGACAGACATTAGCAGAAATGTCGTCTACCCATCATTCGTACTATGATGTAAAGGGAGGATTAGTCTGCAGCCGAACAGCCGGGCTGACTATAAGTACTGAAACGCCCGCTCACCTACTCCAGCTCACGAGTCGACTGTGCCCAGTCCGGGCGACTCTAGCCTCCACACGCCTTAGTGCCTCCCGCCTGTCTTTCGCGCCGTTCCAGGCGGCCTCTCCCGGAGCCGGCAACCCCTCTAGTAGCTCGGCTGGTAGCGGGTATCTGCGACACGCCCATTTCACCCGACACCGACGCCGAGAGGAGCCCATTTCAGCCGTCACCTGTCGAAGCGTCGCGCGCGACCGGCACCGCCAGCGCGCCGGCGCCGCGCGGCATTCGCGACGCGGCACGTCCGTCGCAGTCGACGAGCGCGCGTCGGCGCCGACGAACGGTCTCCGCGGCGCCGGAGCGCGCCGGTGGCACGTCGCGCCGCCGCCGAAATAGACTACAATGGTGGCGGCCGCGTGCCGCGCGATTTTCGCGAGCCGCACGCGCCGGCACCGGCGTCATCCGAGCTGGCCACGCAAATTTGCGGCGACCGGAGGAGTGGGGGAGGGGGAGGGCCCGGGGAGGCGCTGACGGTGTTCAGGATACTGCTGACGCGAACCACTCACAGCGAGCCGCGATGATGACGGCAGGAGCGGCAGCGGCGCCGGATAAAACGGTGATTGATAGGAGAAAAGGCCGAGTGGTGTGACGAGAACAGGGAAATGACAGGCCCCGAACGTATGCAATATGCATTCATGTTTCCGGATATGTCTGAGCTACGAATAGAAGCGTGAGGCGCTGGAAAGTGCGTGGTTTATGGAGGGGTGATGAAAGACAATGCCTGTTGACCTGAACTGAACAATATCTGAAGCACACCTGCCAAGACGGGACGAACTCCGCCACTATAAGGCGCGTCATGTTGAATTAGCCAATATATTACTCATTTGCCGGGTGTTGCAGCTCGACTCATCGAAAAGCTGCTATCGACGAACGAGGATGGCAGTTGGCACTATGGCTTCAGAGTTCAGTGCAAAGTTTGATTGAGCCATTTGAACCACTCATGACCTGTGGACGTGGCAGCATTAGAGCCGTGTATGTAGAGCTACTTGAAAGCTGCTGCTTGCAGCTTGATCCTTGAAGCGTAAGAACTGTTTCAAAGATTTCAATGAAATTCAAGCAACATTAGAAACATAGCAGTCCTATGCAATTTTGTTAAGTTTTTTTTTCTCTCCTCAGCGACGGTAGATGTGATGAACTCAGTGATCGCTGAAACTTCCCACCAGATCCCGAGAAAGACATCGACAAACCCTGTCAAGGCTGCCGCCCTTTTCCTCATCACCGTTCAAACTACAGCAGCACCACCAGTGACCACACGAAATCCCCCACTGACAAAAACACGGCCCCCTGTTGGGATCGAACCCAGCCACCTAGAAAATCTGACTCAGCTCAGACATAAAAATAAAAGACATCCACGTAAAATGGGTCATTCGAGATCACCCAGCTTGTAATATGCCTCTACTGCCCCTACCCGGAGCACAGGGTATAAAATATGAAATAATCTGAGGGTGATATAAATCATAGGAGGTGGGGTGGCGCGTTGCGTCAGCCGCAGGGCGCACATAAACCCGCGCACTGTGACATAATCCGCACACGGTGAGGGGCCGGGGCCGGCGACACTCAGCCTCGAGTCTTGGCCACGTCAGCTGGGGAGGGGGGGGGGAGGAGCGACACGTCAGCTGGGAGGGGGAGGGGGAGGGGCGATAGGGGGAGTTGGCAGACGCTGCTCCATCACAGCAGGTGGATTGTAGAATGTAGATGACTATCCCGTGTTGGGATTTTAGGCATCATCCTTGCAGTTTAGGCAATGCAGTTACACTAATTTCTTATCAGTAAATCGAAAATTAGTAAGAAACGGAGAATTTATTACATTGCTTTGAAGCTTCTACGCATACACATGCAAAATGATGACTGAATATACGTAGTGTGAATGGGTTACGACGTTAAAGCGTAAAAATTATCTTATCACAAGGAATCCCGGGGCAAGGGAAAATCATCACAATCATTACTCAACAAGAAAAAGATCAATTCACATATTTATATTCCAAACACATTGGAGTCATTCACAAGTTACAGCATAACATATTCGTGCCGCAAGAACACATTACAGACATTGCATAAAACTTGACCACTTATTTGATCGGGGTGTGAACACAAATCAATTGCACTAATCGACGATGCTAACAACTAGGGTGGCAAACTGGAGAGTCGTAATGATTTCTGGCAGCTAAGACAAACGATAAAACACATAATTGGTTCACAAAGACATAAGCAAACAAAATAAAAACCAATTTGACGAATGACCAAGTATTCTTTAGTGCATCACGTGATAAAGAGCACCGTATAATCTTAGACTGACTGTTCAAACAAGCGATTGTTGCACGACACCCCTCCACCCGGTTGGCTATCACGCGTCCCGGGCTGCCGTTGAGTGGGGATTGGGGTCACAATCGGACGCGGCACAGAGCCTGAATCAGTGGCGATAGGACCCCCGGCCGGTACAGCGACTAGATACGTACCGCCCCCATCGGACCGGGGCGAATCATTGGGTGTGGCCGGGAGGGGCCCTTCTAGCCTATGTGGCCTGGCCTGTGTGGATGGGCAGTCAACACCACGACATAATTCGGTCTTAAGACAGTGGCAAAGCGACGAAAGCCGTCTATTGCCGGTGCAGTCTCGCGAAAACCGGCCTTTAGATGTAGCCTGTTGCTCTGCCGCGGCATATTTAACATTAGCGAGGCCGTGCAACGCAACCTCCAAGAACACATAAGGGCGGGATAAGTAATGCCTAATGCCCATGGTGGCAAATCAGTGTGCTATAAAATAAAACGAACGCCACATGTCTCTTCAAGACACAGAGATCTACATGGCCACATCTTGATAAGGAAGGAGGCAAGGATGGGTCAACGCCGACGAAATTACACTACAAACTAGTGCCAAACAACACAACATCTAGAGCATTGACAAAGGCACAGCGTTACGGTATTTTGTCCGATCAGTGCGGAACACGACTACTGGAGTGCCTACACATGTTTACGCTAACCACAGTACAGCAGTGATTAAAAGAAAGACATTCGATTGTGACTTGTTACGGGAGCTTAGCGGCTGAGTAAAGTGAACACGCAAGGAGCCGCGTTCTAACTAAACCATCGGTAGGTCAGAGCTTTCACTGTCCCATTTGTAGACATTGGATTCACCAAATGACATGGGGCATTATTTGACGTAAACCAACACAAGATTTCATTAATCTGTTTCATATCCTGTAGTTAACTCTTCCGTCTAAATAGATTGATGATCATTGGTGATTTTACATCACCTTGTTTTCAGCGGTCATCGGCGCCCATTTCCCTCTCGATTGAATCCAGTCACATATTTAATACAGTCCCCACAATACTTCCTCTCCACTGCCCACTCCAATCCTCATCCCTCCTCACTGATCCCGCACCTGTCCCCCTCGCCTGCCCTCTGTGCCCACCCACTCTCCACCTACACCGCCGCCCCTGCCTCCCTGAACAGTGTGCCCAGGGCCATCAGCAGGTGGACATTGCCCTATATCCCCGCCCCTGCCTCCCTGAACAGCGTGCCCAGCGCCATCAGCAGGTGGACGTTGCCCTGCAGTCGCAGCCGGCCGCCGCTGTAGGCCGCCGCCGGACTCAGCTGACCGCTGATCAGCTGACGCAGGTCAGCCGAGGTCAGCGTGACGCCGACATCAGCAGACAGCTCCGGACATGGTCCTGAGCGCACATCGCGCACACCTGGCCACAGGGGTCACAGAGGTCACAGGAGGTCATGGAGAGGCCACAGGAGACCACAGGGATGCTACATTAGGTCACAAAAGGTCAAAGGTCATACATAGATACCACAGGTCACAGAAAGGACACAGGAAGTCACACAGAGGTCGAGGCCACAGAGATCACACAGCGCTCAGGTCTCAGATAAGGTGAAACGCCTTTGAAACGTGCCTGAAACGCCAGGGTTAATATTCGGTCAGAAAAGTGCGACTGGTGGACTGCACTTCTTTTTGTTCGGACACACCAAAGTGGTACTGAGTCACTTCAGATAGGAGTTGGCATTCAGCTATGGTTAGTTTGCTGTTCTAATCCCTTGCCTTTACAGCTGATAAAAATAATCAGGCGGTGCTGCATAGTCGTAGTGACATAAGCCATGTCGACAGTATCAAGCATCGACAGTATCAGACAATGTATGCAAAGTTAATGCAATCAAACAAAGCCAAACAGTTGAAAAATAAGGTCTGAATTCCTGCTGGCGATATTTGCATCAATTTTATGAAATAAATACCACTGAAAATGTGTTAACAAATTACATTTTAATATTTTCTTAGTGCTTAACGTCATCCATGCAGCTCAGGCTAAGAAGACTCAATTGCTGGTAAATCAAGACCGGTGACTGGGTAAATCATGGTGCAGCACTCAGACGCTCAAACTGCTCACCTTCTCCAATAATCACGTGGTAGAGGCCCTCGGGCGATGTGGTCTCAATCCGGAACACCCCCGAGGCCAGACCCGTGTTGGCGGGCAGCCGCGCCACGGCCTCCCGCAGCGCCGCCGCAGTCTCACAGTCCTCCGCCAGAGGCGCTGGTGTTCCCGCCGCCAGGGGCGCTAGTGTTCCGGCCGCCAGGGGCACTGCTGTCGCGCCGTCAGGCTGCGGCGGCAGCCAGGAGGCGGTGAGCGGCGCCTGGCCAGCCACCATGGTCCGCCCGCCGCCCCCGCCCCCGCCCAGCATGCCGCCCAGCTGACGCAGCAGAGGATTCACCGCCGACAGGTGATCGGCCTCCTTGTGGACCTTCACCTCAGAACTGAAACGGAGACGGGGACGACGGTGTCACTGTCGGCATAATTTTCAGCTGCAGCAAAACTAAACAAATCTCGCAGTTAGCAAGGAGCGTAACAACTAGTGGGTTACTAAGAACATCTGTTTACCATCTTGGGGTCGTGAAGACCATAAGTTTCCTAATTCCTAGCTTAGAGGACAAACTTTGCGGAGAGGGATTCAGCTTTGAGCTTACGACCTTTGTGCGATACGGACACAGCTCACATTCGGGACTGAAGGCATGCCTTGCTAGGGTCGGGATGCTTTGCAGTACCAAAAGTCCCTGGAACCAGCACTTAATGACTCCAGTCTCCAGTGTAAGCCAAGGCCCTAAATACAAGGTTGCACGGACTTATTTCTACTAAACCTACCAGAATATAGTTTCACGGTTGATTATTTAAATAATTATTCAATCAAAATTTCTTTATTATTATCTCGTAATCATTTATAAGCAATTTTATAAATCAACTTTCAATTTCCTTGCCTTTTACTAGCAAAATAACTTTTCTAGTATTGGGTCAACATAGTGGTGTAGCAGTAGGAACCACATCTGGCAAAACTCCAATGCCTACATACAGCAGAAAAGCAGCCACCAGGTGTCGCCACAGTCACCACTTGGTCGCCACACAGATGTCGCGCGCGTCGCCAATCGCCACACTACCGATTTCCATAAGGACGCATATGTACGGATATGTATAGGAAAGTCGCCCTTAAGGATTACGCTTACATCCTTTGCTTATGAGGTCGGTGGTTGGAAATTGGGAGACGCTCAGCTATTTTCGACCACGGATATGCCTTTATCACATGATGAGGAACATGCTGATAAGCGTTTTATGCGTCATAACAGCACAAAAGTATTTTTAATCATTTTTCAAAAATAGCCGTTCTGCCGTATCTTTCAGTGCAAGGTGCCGTCGGTCATCCCCGACGTGACGTCACGCAGGGAATTTGCCAGATTTTCCTACTAGACTTCGACACCCCCTGGTGTAAGCTAGACGCCTCCTGGAGCATACACGGGCTTCAAATCAGGGCTGCGGAGTCGGAGTCGGAGTCGGAGTCGGTCGGAGTCGACAGTTGTGACCGGAGTCGAAGTCGGAGTCGGAGTCGATTTTAGAAACCCGAGCCGGAGTCGGAGTCGGAGTCACCGAAAATCTGTCGACTCCGCAGCTCTGCTAGGTCTGCGGAGTCGGAGTCGGGAGTTGGAGTCGGTCGGAGTCGACAATTCTGCCCGGAGTCGGAGTCGGAGTCGGAGTCGGAGCTGGTTTTGAAAGCCGGAGTCGGAGTCGGAGTCGGAGTCGCCGAAAATCCATCGACTCCGCAGCCCTGCTTCAAATTGTGATAAATCATTCCATATGTCATTACATATGGCGGCAAAGTAAGCTGTGTAGTGTGTATCACTTCAATCTTATGCAAATAGGTTAAAGGGACCATCCCACCTTAACATTAGTTTTGAGTTGAGATAGCCAAGTTTGCGGCCAGGCTCAGAAATCACCATTTATCCTGGTCGCAACCCCCGCAGCTTTATGGTGTTCAAGAAATTTCTTCCCTTTACTTGCAGGGTGGGACCAGCTTAGTCCCTATCTCTTAACCATTAGCGGTTTTTTGATGACGTCAGCAGTCATTTCAACGCCCGCCATTCCTTGAACCCGAGTTTTGCTGACCTTGAGCTCCCTTTTTTATCAACGTGAAATCCGTCGTCGGCGCTGAGAAAGCCTATTGCTTTTCATTTTAATTTGAATATTAGAAGGTACCCACCACTGGAACTTGGACTGATATTATACCAAGGCCGAAGATTACTTTTACCATGATGATCAAGCTGCCTGCTATATCTGGAGCTTGGTGTTCAACTTCAACATCAACATGGAATAAAAAACAAAATATCAAAGCAAACTGGATATGGTACTGCAAGTTAAAGTCCAAAGAAATTTGAAGAGCTGACAGTTGACAATAATTCTTTTCCTGCAAGGTTTCCATAGAGATCACACCATGAAGAATATTTTTGATGTTAACAGTGAAAGGGGATTGATCTTCCGTTTTGACGAAAGACGCTGCTGACTGTCTTTGGAAAGGATGTCGGCATGAGGTGCAATTGTGCTTGTGAAGTGGTTATAACTGGTCTTTCACAGTATTAAATTAAATGTGCCATTGCAGCAAGTGTTTATCATGTATTTAAGGTAAAATCAAAACTACAATGTTGGTTTTACGAGCATTGAGGAGAAGGATGGTAGGTAAACCTCCCTGTGCTCGTATCATGCTATGCTGCCAAGTATCTAAATAATTTATCATACACTTTTGTGTCCAGAATGGTTGCACTATTGTTTGGTATCATATTATTCATGTAAATATGTAGTGTAAAGTCTGACCAACACCTGTTACCAGATTTGAAGCTGATACGTTACCTAAGTACAGTCACCAGCACTTGCTATAATCACCTCGTTTTGTTCAGT